ATAAATAGATAAAAAACTTAAAACAATCTACTGTTTTATGAGCTTCAACCTGTTTTATAATTATGATACAGCACATTATTAGAAGCCCCTTGATTAATTTAACAATACAGAAGAAGACCTTATTCTTTATTTAAACAACAATGAAGAAACAAGAACTAGATACATAACCCTATTGTGAAATCCACTAAAGCTATACCATAACATAAATGGAACATAAAAACCAAGGTACCACCAAAATTGATTAGCATTCCTGAAGGCCTCATAGCGCCTGTGAGGTTCTGATCTGCTGCATAGTGCCATCTGCAGGCATTGTTTGAGGCATCGGCTAATGCCGCAACTGCTGCAGCTGGGCTCATGCTTTTGTACTGAGAAGGCAACGGGGCAGCTTGATGTGATGCATAGTAAACTTGTTCATGAGCAGGATTAGCATACTCATAACCATAATTAGCAGCAGCACCAGAAGCAACCGCAATAGACTGAGAAGGATGTTGCAATTGAGAGTAAACAACATACTGTTGTGAAATTGATTAGCAGGAATTTGGACTAACGCAGGAGTTGAAGTCACAGCGTTCTGTATACACTTGCAGGCATTTCAGTTTAGCTTGAGTAGCTGTTTTTGTGGGGTAAATCGGTGGAATTGAGTCTTTGTATGCTGCAGAGGCTGCAACTACCGTCGGAGTTGGAGGCGTCAGTGGGCGGCTTGAGGCCACAACAGTACTAGTGTCAACTAGATTAGATTGCATTGACATGAATGGTTGGTTTTGAGTAACTGGCATTACATAAACGGGTATTGTGGATCAGTTGGGTGGTGAAGTTGTTGCGGTGGTGGTGCATACACTTGATGATAGTAAGATGAAATTGGCACCGGATTGGTTGCAGGATGGGGAATATAGTGCATGCTCGCGTGTGCAAATTGTTGTGTTGGTGTTTGATGTGTTTGTTGTTGTTGTTGATCTGATTGTGGAGGCAAAACATAAGTCTGATCTTGAATTTGTGAGCTTGGAATTGGGATTTCACTACTTGTATTTGGGCCGTGGGACCTCTGCTCTCCCTGTGTGCAGCAACAACTTGGTCTTGATAATACATGGGCTTAGAAAGAGAACTTGCAGATGCAATGCTGCTGTCACTGTAAAAATTTTCTCATCAATTATCATTTCGAATACAATAGATGGAATATGAGATACAATAAAAAAATACATTATGAAAGATCTAAGAGAAAGAATGAATTCCTTGCAACAGAGTCAGGGGAAGGCAAATTGTAAGCTGTACCGGCTTTGTGTTGAACTGGCTGCAATGGCAATGGAGGTTTCCTTAACCGGACAGGATTACCATGATCCGATCTCTCATCATCAGATAAAATCCTACTTGAATTTTCATAGACGCAACTGTATGATTAAGTGAAGTCAGAGCCCCGGAACTACCCAACTCACGGAATTGGAGGTGGAATACCTGAGTGAACAACTAATCCATCATCCTGCCTCTGCAAACCACTATGAGCAAAAATCATCTGAGCAAATTTCTCTTCATCCCATTCTTCTGATCCTCAACACGAACACGAATCGGTGGCAAATTTGACATTGAAGGACTTGAAGAAGACGAGCCAAAAGATGAACTAGTTTCTACATAGGCGAATCTGGCATAGAATAATGCACTTCATGCGCCACATTTTTCACCTCCTGTTGTGATCGGCCTCAGGTGGAGCCTCCAAGTCGTTATCGTTATCAAGATTTAGTAAGCAATCCATGGTGGTATCAGAGAGCCCTCTAGGAAGTAGCCGGAGCCATTGAGAGCGTCAACAAACCAGTTTCAGATTTGGCATCATCAAGAAGTGATCCCATGGAGGCTGCAGTTTCAGGCTGTAAAGAAAAGAAACAGACGAATCCGTGTAGAAGATACAGAAGTTGAAGTTGATGTTAAACGGTCATATTTCGATCATGTTCTCGAGATCCTCTTCAGTTGTGATGGATACAAGAGAGTCAAGATCTTCATTAGGAAGCTGGTATTTTCGTGGAAGCTTCGGCCATGGAGAAGAGAACGAGAGAGGCGGGGTGCAAAGAGAGAAAGTGACGAGTGGCGGTCGACCACCACCAGGGCGTATCTCCACCTACATAGAGAGAGATTTGTGGGGGACGGGGGATAATGTGGCCGCCGTAAATGCACATCAGGCGGAGCTTGGCACCAGGGACTGGCGGCAGAGGGTCATCATAAGTGTCATTATTGCGGGAGCGAGGAGAGGAGTCAATGGAGTCAGGATAATTGAGATGGATAGCAGTGGCAGCAGGGACGGCGGTGGTGGTAGCAGCGGGGATGGGGGTGTGGTGGGGGTGGTGGGGGGTGGCAGAGGTGGTGGATCCATCAGGAACTTGGTGTTTGAGTTTGTTTTATTTGAGGTAATGACTAAGAGAAGTCAAAGAATTTGATGGTTTTATGCTCATTTAAATTCAAAGTTGATTGTAGGAGGGAAATGAATAAATGAATGACTTTGATTTTATACGTTTAAAAACAGGTTCAATCAATTTGATACAAGCAGATCTATTTTGTAATAAGTCTTGAAGTCTTGCGAGATTTGTCCTAAGTTTTCGAGTAGATTTGATGGTGGATTATCTTACAATTTATCAGCTTAAACTAATGAAGATAATGGTGGAATAAAGTTTTAATTGCCATGCTATTGGCAAACTCCAAGATTGTTAGTTACTATGTTATAAAGGCAGTTTGTTTCACTTAGAAAAGAGTGTATCTTTTCCATGTGCATAAAGCACATCAAGGATACAATTGGGTTAATGTAATTTAGATATAATAAAGTATCATAAAACAGTCTCTTAAATTTCTTGTATTGACACATTATTAATTATCATATGGGATCTTAAATTCCATCTTTGTGTAAAGAGTATTAGTATATTTTAAAGCCTTATATACTAGAAAATTAATTGAAATTTTATATTTTTACATTGTTGATACCATCTAAGAGATTTATATTTAAAAAATGCACATGCATGTTGCTGGTGGTTGAAACCAAAAATATTCAAGCTTAAATAATCCCATCCCAATGATCCCATTGTATTAGAAATCCTTTTCAATTGGAAATAATTTAATTTAGGAAAGAAAATTTAGCTTTTTAACTACCTCTGAGTGGTTGAGTGGTTTAATAGAGACTTTTGAGTATTTACCAAGAGGTCATAGTTCGAGTCTCTCCTCGATTGTTAATAGAAATGATCGCTAGAGCTCATATTTAGTCGATAATTTCAGAATCCTTAAAGATTAATTGAGGTATGTGTAAACTGATACAATACCTCGGTCATTAAAGTTAAAAAAAAAAAAAAAAAAACGTGTGGTCGGTGAGAATTATTGGAGTGAAGTGAATTGGTGTGATAAAATTATCGGGAGTTAATACTTAAGCGAAGGCCATGCATCAGGACTTGGTGGGAATTGGACTGATCACATGCAGTAGTATAGGTAATTGTGCCCATGTATATTATTTCTTATTTATATGAGTAATGAAATTGAAGAGAGGTTCGATAGAGAGGCACTCGTTAATGGCCAGCTGCTCTATAAAATTAAGCAAAATTCATCACTTTGACAGTTTGCGTTTGCACTTTGCTTCCTTCAGATACGAGGAAGCTGTAAGACCATAACGAAACCCAAGAGAGTAATTGAAGGGTACATTAGTGTTGATGCTGGGAATGCGCACCAACGAATTCTCACGTGCGTAACGTTGATTGACCGTTAAATACACGTGAAAATGGAATATACAAGCGAAATAAATGCAAGGGAGTTTTTTAAGTGGTTCGGATGTAAGGTAGCAAATCTACGTCCACTGACTGTGATTGATGTTGGTGGTCAGGTCGCGACATACGGGCTGACTTACATAGGTTGAAAAAGTGAAAATGTTTACAGGAGAGAGAGATTTTTGTATGAAAAATGGTGAATCCCCTTAATGAAGGGGTCTCCCATTTTATATCAAATGAAGCGTATAATCATCATTAAATCCATGTTTGGGGTGTGGTCAGGATTAATCCGGCTTTAGTCCCTCTTCCTTTTCCCAAGCTGACATCGCACGACTTATTGCAGGGAAATGGACGGTGTGAGCTCCAACATTTGGCAGGTCTGAAGTGTGCGTGTTGCTCTGACGGAGAGGTCACCCTCACGTGACTTTCCCACGTCAACTTTATTTTCCGGGCATAACAATTAGCTGTATAGTTATACCATTTCAGTTTTCATGTAAATTATAATAATAATAATAAAAAGCTCAAGAAAAAAATCAAATTAATTAACTGGGATTAGATCTAAATTATCAGACATTAAATTAAATTTAGTTTGAATCTTACATATAATCAACTCAGGTTAGACTGAAAATTCTCACATATAATTTATGCTTATTCTTGTATGTACTTACATTTTGTTATTTATATAAAGGAAAAGATATTCAATTATCAAGGTCTGCTATTCCTTCAGTTAATTAATTTTAATTCATAATCACATGATGGGTTACACGATTCTCTGTCATCATTTCAATAAATAAATCAGTTCTAGATCTTATATTATTATGTTTTACACAATCTAGTAGCTAGCAAGCAGAAGGAATAATAAAATTTTTTAGTAGTTTTTTATAATATAAAGAATCCAACCAAACTGGTTTATTTATAATCTACGAATATGATTTTATTTATCACTTCAACATGTTCATCTTTAATTTTAGTTTTTATTCATAATATTCTCCCTTCTGTTATTACATGTAGAACATGTTTTAGACATATAAGATAAGTCAACCTCCAAAATTATTGATCCAATTTTGGGGTTTATTGTTCATTCATTGCCTATAATTTTGATAACATGGATGATTAAACCCTAAATTTTGCATTTCAAACAATAGTGGCATTCCTAGTTATACATGCTGATGTTGGGACCGGACTCTATTGATTGTGATATCATATGCACAAATCAAGCCCAAGGGGCCCAATATCTGAACCTGCAGGTGGATAATTAGTCACCAAATGAGAAATTCAAGATTCAGGCACACCAGAATCTTTCAAAAGAGCTATATTTGGACCAAACTTTTTACTCCTTAAATCCAGTAAAAGTCCCCGTCCCATCCGCTTCAAAACTGTAACAATTTTTTCATCATGAATGACAACGTTCCTGAGGAAATTATAATCTGCATATTTTGTTAACAAACATGCTCTGCCATAGAGCTAGTTTGCCAACTACATGCAAGGCTCCATTTCCATTCAATTGAATCTATGAAGACTTATGAATTGATTGTTAGAGTTCCATGTTCGCATCATCTCCGGCTATTATCAAAATTGATTGAAACTTTCAAAACGTCATGCAGGGATCTGAAATGCCGCATCCAAGTTAGCTTCTCCACAACATAATTACATAGATGTCAATAAACTTTTAACTTAAGAATCCACGTTATTAGCAAAATTTACTAAATATTTTTAGAATGTTTCTTTTGGTTCCTTTAGATGGGAATAAATAAATACATGACCAACAAAGTGTTCTAATCAATTGGGATCACTCTAGCATATCAAATTCATTAGTTCAGATATAAAATTAATAACATCATATTGTAAATCAATAGCCATATGCAGAACCACAATATTGAGATACTGTTATGTTCTTTTGATCACTTATCAGTATCAATCTTGTCAAAAGTATCCTATTATATTATTAGACTATAAAACAAATTTCATGTACAGTCAAGTGAATGGTAATATATCTTGGAAGCAGAAACAGAGGCCATTCATAGAGAGAAGGAAGCAAAGAATCTAGTTATATTCCAAGAACATTGACATTCCAACATTGGCTTTTCTAATTTTCATTTGGACACAGTATGAATGTTGAGATTCAAGTTTAGTCATTTACAACAATTTCAGAGCTTAATGTTTAAGAATGTTATGTTAAAACATTCATCCTAGCGTAAAAGAACTACAGATCCAATACTTGGTAAATAAAAAATAGCTTAAATTAGCTACTACCACAAAAATCTAAAAAAATTATATTGAACACAGTTCAAGAGTTAAACCTGTTTCATTTCACATGCCTCTGAAATCCAGGAAAGGCATCCTGAAGATCAATTTTGCCCTGAAATACATCGAATAACTCAGGAACTTCTTGAAATTTGGTTACATGCCTCTTAATAAATTTGCTCTGCCCAACACATAACTGGATGGACATATATTTTCTTTGATCAATCCTTTGGAGAGCAGAACCTGAATAACCAAACACCTGGGAGCAATGCTCTTCTCCAAGCTGTAACTGAAAAATTGTGGCATTTTGGAAATATCTTCAATTCAATTTCAAACTGCCAATGCCAAGACTACGAAGGCTGAAGCTGAATATAGAGCCTTCAACGTTCAATTCTGAGCCGCCATAGTTTTGTAATGTTAACCTAGTGGATGTGTACATTAAGTTATTTATGTGACCCCATAGAAAACTGACACATAAATTTTTTTTTTTTTTTTTAATGAGGTTCGGGTCGGTGTCGGTCCTATCACTTGACCCGAATCTGACCCAAAAAATCTGGCCCACCGTCCTTGACCCGATCTATGCCTGGATAAAATTTTAACCCATTTTTTGGATCTAAGATCATAGAGTAATTTTCCTATTCAAATGCGTGTGCTGAATAACAAAAAATTTAAGAGTCACGCATTCAATGCCATTCCTTGAGCTGCAACTTCTGTCCATGGATGTTGTAAATACTAAATAGGTTTAAAAATTATTGCAAAAACATACATCGTGAGATTGTGGTAAATCAATAGGAGTAATATTTGTTATGCAACACTATCTTCTTTCTGTGAGTTCTTCTTCCTCCTTCCTAAAGTCTCTACTAAATTACTGCAAAAACTTATCTGCATATTTCTAAAAAAAATATGTTTTGTAATAGAGCTAATGAAAATAGCATCGTAATTTTACACAATGGTCCAATTATGTTTTCTTTGGACTTGTATCTATGAAAGCTCATGAATTGTGTGTTACATCTTAGATAGGAAGACAAAAGTTAGCCCCCTTAACATGGGGACAAAATTGGTTTCTTCTTTTAGAATAAGAAGACCTTCAAAATTAAATACATATACCGGTGAAAAACCTTTTCTATTATTCTCTAAAAGAGCAAATCGGAGAAAGTTAGTGGAATAAGAAGACCTTCAAAATCAAATACATATACCGGTGCAAAACCTTTCCTATTATTCTCTATAAGAGCAAATCGGAGGAAGTTAGACAAATGTATGAAATATAAGTTAGTTTCCCTACAATTTAATCACTTGGACATTGTAAAACTTATAACTTAAGAACCCTCGTAATTAGACAAATGTATGAAATATTGAAAGAAAGAAAAAAGAAAAAAACATTACAAAACAGTCAAAGAATAAAAAGAGTTCCCAAACAACATGAAATTAATAATATCATATTGTAAATCAATAATCCCATATATCGCGTGACACTATCAACATAAAGAAATTTATTCTTTTCATTCCTTTTTCGATAAACTTGCCAAAAACTCCTTTGATATTATAAGATCATAAAACAAATTATGTAAATCCACTGAATGTTACTCCAAAACAACATCTTGTAACAACCAACATTGGCTCTGAAATGCCACATCTAAGTTAGCTTAAATTAGCTACTACCACAAAAAACAAAAAAATTTATATTGAACACAGTTCAAGAGTTAAACCTGTTTCATTTCACATGCCTCTGAAATCCAGGAGAGGCATCCTGAAGATCAATTTTGCCCTGAAATACATCGAATAACTCAGAACTTCTTCTTGAAATCTGGTTACATACCTCTTAATAAATTTGCTCTGCCCAACACATAAGTAACTAGATGGACATATATTTTCTTTGATCAATCCTTTGGAGAGCAGAACCTGAATAACCAAACACCTGGGAGCAATCCTCTTCTCCAAGCTGTAATTGAAAAATTCTGGCATTTTGGAAATATCTCGCGACAGCCAACCCATTTTGTTCACAAAGAAATCCATAACTCTTGTAATCTTCTCCTCAGATATTTGCATACAACATGGATTCCTTCTAAAAGCAGCCAGAGTCACATCATCAGACCAACCCCACCTCCTATAAACCTCAAACTTAGATTCCCAAACCGATTTCTTCAATTTGTTAATTACTCCAACTGCCATAACAAACACAGTTTGGGTGGGACTGAATCCCATTTCCTTAACCTCATTGACAACCTTGCAAAATTTAGAATGTTTGGAAGGTGCTGCGCTTGGCATATTAGCCACCAAAAAATAAATTCGAGATTGAGGCACACCAATATCTTTCAAAAAAGCTATATTTGGACCAAAATTTTTACTCCTTAAATCCAGTAAAAGTCCCCGTCCCATGCGCTTCAAAACTTTAACAATTTTTTCGTCATGAATGACAACATTCTTGAGGAAATTGTAATTGGGGATAAGATGATTCTTTAAACTCCTAGACAACAATTGTGGACTCCCAGCTATAATCTCCACTAGGTCATTCCTTGAAGCCCCTATAGAACGGAAAAACTCAATCTTGGGCGAAAGTGTCTTTTCGGGATCACTTGAAATGACTCGTGGGTATCCTCTCACAACTTTAGAGATCTGGGTTTTGGTGAAACCATGGTCGCTGAGAAACCTAAGGACTGAGTCTGCTCTTTCAGAGTTCTTCAACTGAATAAACTTAGAAGCAGAAACAGCAGATTTTAAAGACAAGCCACATGAATTTATCAAGTATGAAACTTTCAAGGACTCTTCCTGTTCACTTTGTTTAGTTTTTAACGGTTTCTTCTCTACATGCGAAGATGATGAAAGAAACCTAGTAGGGAAAATCTTATTTTGAGAAAAACCCAGTTGACTAGTGAGATTCAGAGCTAAATCGCTATCAGCGATTACTTTTCTTGTTGTTCTACAAAGAAAACGAAACATAATGAACTTAACTTACTCAAATTTAAACTGCATTCCGGAAACTTCTTCAATTCAATTTCAAACTGCCAATGCCAAGACTACATATGCTGAAGCTGAATATAGAGCCTTCAACGTTCAATTCTGAGCCGCCATAGTTTTGTAATGTTAACCTAGTGGATGTGTATATTAAGTTATTTATGTGACCCCATAGAAAACTGACACATAAAATTTTTTTTTTTTAAAAAAAAAAAAAGAGGTTCGGGTCGGTGTCGGTCCTATCACTTGACCCGAATCCGACCCGAAAAATCTGATCCACCGTCCTTGACCCGATCTATGCCTGGATAAAATTTTAACCCAGTTTTTTTGGATCTAAGATTATAGAGTAATTTTCCTATTCAAATGCGTGTGCTGAATAACAAAAATTTAAAGAGCCACGCATTTAATGCCATTCCTTGAGCTGCAACTTCTGTCCATGGATGTTGTAAACCTTGTTGGTAAATACGGATACGGCAAAAAAAGATATAGGAATTTTACGAGTATAATACGACAAACGATGAAAAATATGTTTATAAAAATTTTGGTCATAAAATTCAGATACGGAAAAAATACGGTACGGATATATACGGGTTTAATACAGTATATTATTAATAATATGTTTTGAAAAATACGATAATATCAATCTTAGTTTTAATACTTTTATGGATTACCTAACTAAAATCAATAATATAGTATTTTAAATACAAAGTATTCAATTAACCAATAACACAAATATACAATATATAAGTAATATTCAAATTATAGTCTCCAGACTCAAACATAATATTTAACCATGATTCTTTACTAATTTAAAACTTGATAAGTTTGATATTAAATGCAACCAATTTTAACTTCTATATAAAAGATTTGTGTTACAATAGTCTAACTATTATTTTATACCTATAATATATGATAGTTTTTTTTTTTTCATAATAGATTATTATTTTAATATCATTAATCCAATCTAATTTATTAGATAGCACGAAAATAATTTAAGAATATGAAATGATTTTGTATGTGTTTTGAGTTTAAAATGTAAAGGTGTGGGGAAATGGGCGGGAAAATGGATATCATTTTGAGTTTTGAACTTTTTGAGAGGGTTATTTTATTCCCCCTTTCCAATCTCTTCTATGCCTTACCCACTGATTTCTTCTTCCCCCACTAAAACGACGTCGTTTCAATCAGTTTTGTTTTTTTTTTTTTTGCAATAATTCACGAATTATACGGATACTCCAATAATTCTCGAATAATTCGGCAGCACTTTATAAAATACGTAAATACGCGTTTTATATGCGTATTTACTAAGTAGGGTTGTAAATAGGTTTAAAAATTATTGCAAAAACATACATCGGGAGATTGTGGTAAATCAATCGGAGTAATCTTTGTTATGCAACACTATCTTCTTTCTGTGAGTTCTTCTTTTTCCTCCTTCCTAAAGTCTCTAATAAATTAATGCAAAAACTTATCTGCATATTTCTAAAACAAATATGTTTTGTAATAGAGCTAATGAAAATAGCATCGTAATTTTACACAATGGTCCAATTATGTTTTCTTTGGACTTGAATCTATGAAAGCTCATGAATTGTGTGTTACATTCCATGTTTGTGTCATCTTAGATAGGAAGACAAAAGTTAGCCCCCTTAACATGGGGACAAAATTGGTTTCTTCTTTTAGAATAAGAAAACCTTCAAAATTAAATATATATACCGGTGAAAAACCTTTTCTATTATTCTCTAAAAGAGCAAATCGGAGGAAGTTAGTGGGATAAGAAGACCTTCAAAATCAAATACATATACCGGTGCAAAACCTTTCCTATTTTTCTCTATAAGAGCAAATCGGAGGAAGTTAGACAAATGTATGAAATATAAGTTAGTTTCCCTACAATATAATCACTTGGACATCGTAAAACTCATAACTTAAGAACCCTCGTAATTAGACAAATGTATGAAATATTGAAAGAAAGAAAAAAGAAAAAAAACATTACAAAACAGTCAAAGAATAAAAAGAGTTCCCAAACGACATGAAATTAATAATATCATATTGTAAATCAATAATCCCATATATCGCGTGACACTATCAACATAAAGAAATTTATTCTTTTCATTACTTTTTCGATAAACTTGCCAAAAACTCCTTTGGTATTATAAGATCATAAAACAAATTATGTAAATCCACTAAATGTTATTCCAAAACAACATCTTGTAACAACCAACCCATTTTGTTCACAAGCAACTCCATAACTCTTCTAATCTTGTCCTCAGATGCAAGCATACACTATGGATGCTTTCTGATTGCAGCAAGAGTCTCATCCTTGGACCAACCCCACATCCTATAAACCTCAATCTTAGATTCTCAAACCGATTCTGTTAATTGGTTAAATACAACCACTGCTTTAACAAACATGGTTCGGGCAGGATTGTATCCCATTTCCTTAACATCATTGACAATCTTGCAAAATTTAGATTGTTTGCAACATATTATAGATGGATTATTAGTCACCAGAAAAGAAATTTGAGATTGAGGCACACCAGTATCTTTCAAAAGAGCTAAATTTGGGGCAAAATTTGTACTCAAATCCTATAAAACTACTCGTTGCCCGTTATTGAGTATAGTATAATGTGATGTTGTAATGTGCAGGGTTGAGTTTGTAATGTTAGAAATATGGATGGGTTGTATTTGTAAAAGATAAAAGAACAACTTAGAAACGATGATGTTTTGTAGTTGTATAATATAATAGAATGTCTGTTATACAACTCGACGTTCTCAGTTTTGTAACTAATTGAAATAATACACACTTTTCAATTGAGTTTTAGTTCTCTTTTTCTCTCTGTTTCTTGCTTGCATCTTCTAGGAATTTTTTTTTTTTTTTTTTTTTGTTTTTTTTTTTCTTGGTAAAACCTTCATGGTACAGAGCTATAGACAAGCGTCAATGACTCAACGAATCCTGATTTTTCTAATATCACTTCAAAACCAGAGATAGAACAAACTTGTGCTGGAATTGGAATCAATTCCAGTATTTAGTCATCACTTCCTACAATTTTATAAAACTTGGAGAGAAGAATTACAGACACTAGCGTTCTCAAATTCTTCCAGCACTCTCATCTCAGATCTTGATGAATTTATAACTGGTGAGAAAATATGTCCACCTAGCTTGTTATTGAAAAATCTGATAATTCTGAAGATATTGTAAAAAGGCCAAACCCTAAGTACTTTAATTGGAAAAGAACTGATCAATGTTTGGTAAGCTGGTTATTTCACATATCTAAATCTATGTTAGACAGTAGCAAAATGTGTGAGTTCTTATGAAATTTGGAATACCTTAGAGTTGCATTTTCAATCTATTTCGAAGACTAGGACTATACACTTAAGGAATTTATTACAGACTACTAAGAAAGATTCCTTAAGCATAACCAGTATGTCCTGAACAATGAAGGAGTTAGGGGATGAGTTTGTAGCTAGTGGTGTTAATCTTAGTGATGATGAGCTTTTGTTGTATATTCTAGATGGTCTTGGACCAAAAAATGATGTGGTAGTTGCTAACTTGACTTACAATAGTAGCACAACAAGTATTCAGGAGGCTCAATTCATGCTTCATAAGCATGCGTTAAGGCTAGAACGACAACACAATATTATGATCAATTTTCATGAACATATGACGTCTGCCTTACTTGCTTCCAAACAAGAATCCAATAGCTCATCTGCACCTAATTTTGTGATGAACACGCATATAAACTTAAGTCATTGCTATCCAACTATTCTTCTCAAGTATCAGGTTATGGGTATCAACCTGGTACCAATTTAGCTCTACTGTATGAGCACCTAGTTATCCTATAGGAGCAAGTGTTGATTTCAAGAATAATAGTTTTCATGGCCAAAACTTTAGTAGACCTTACTACTTACCTAATGCACATCAATTCTTTACAGGAGATGCTCAGCTAAATAACAATCTAATGAAAGGAAGAGGCAGAGGTTATTTCAAACCAAAGTTAGTGTGTCAAGTGTGTGGAAAAACATGACACTTTACCATACAATGCTATCACTGGTTTGATCAAGAGTATCAGGGCTTTGTTGCTCCAAATTATAGTCACCAACCACAGCCAAATGGCAACACTCCATTAGCTCCTCCATCGATTGTGTTTACTAAAGGTTCTAATACTCCAGCTCAGGCTTTGTTTGCTTCAAGCTTTACATCAAATGCACCTAATCATGCTATCTTTCCTGGTTATACATCCAATAACTCACAAGTGCATAATCCTTCTTTTGGATCGTTTCATGATTTCTCTGTTTCTGGAGGTCCACAAATGTATCACAATTCCACAATATCCTATCCATCAATTGTAGGTGATCAACATTCTGTTACACCTACTTATCATAACACCGGCATTGATTCTTCCAACAGTCTGCCACTAAGAAATATCAAAGACACTTTCTCTGGTTCAACTTCACAACTATAGACTGTAGCTACTCCACAAATACTCCATGATCAGTCCTGGTTCGTGGACTCTAGAGCCTCCAATCACATGATAGCTAATAGATCCAACTTGCTGATCAAATCCGCTTATCCTAGAAACTCTAAAGTGTAAGTAGGTAATGGGGAAGCTCTTCAATTACTCATATAGGTATGTTATTAATTCCCTCTTTTGATACTCATAGATTGATTCATCTTAGAGATATTCTACATGTTCCCAAAATTTCAAAGAATTTGCTAAGCATCTCACAAGTCACAAATTACTAGAGACAATAATGTGATTATGGAATTTCATGCCAATTGTTGCTTGGTAAAGGACAAAACCAGTAAAGCTGTACTACTTCATGGCACTATTAACGATGGATTGTATCAACTCGAACTTTCTCATAATGTCACCTCAACTCCAGAATTCACTAGCTAAGAAGCTTTTGCTAATTCTGTCTCAAGTGATGTTAATAATAAAGTTGCTTTAGACTCAAGTGTTACTAGTCATCAGTCTGCTGGTGGTTTTAATGCT